GGTAGGTGCGGTAATGTAGTAATTGGCAAACATTTAGTGGCAACCACTTGTCTTTTTCTCGAGATAGCTATAAACGGTGGAAATGAAGGACAGTATCTTAAGCGAGGAACTTCTATTTAGGCACTGCGCTCTAAGTCACTGCAGAAATTCAACACAGAAATCAATCCAGTCAGATTCCATTTCACAGTTTATTAGGGATATTCGTCACTTATCTTTGGCCAGCAACATTTTCACGAATGCTTGTTTGGTACTCTTTTCTTCATTGATACCGATGGCATAGAGCTTGTAAAACTGGGTCATCATCAAGAAGAGAATGTCAAGCTTCAATAAGAATTGTCAAGAATTACTCAGGAACTACAGGAGGAACAGCTAGGTATCAGTGAGGTTACCATCTATTGTAACATTTCCACATTGTATTGCTCCTAAAGGCTATCGGTGTAACATCTTTGCTGTGTTACAAGCCTTATCTCATCTGGAATCTGTACTAGTCTGAAGTTAAATACTAGTTGGTTTGGTTGGTCTAGCACAAACAAGTAAGCCACTGGGCTCATACGTGTCTAACTTGCTGAAAGCACAAAGTAATTAGACACAGTGAAAGCCCTATTGGTACCATTCGCACGCTTTGACCACGTTTATATATATACGACTGGACCCCCTCCACAAGCGCATTTACATACTCACGTGTCGACCGTTACACTTCATGGCCCGAAGGAGTACTCCTCAAGGCTAGATATCAAATTAAAGCCAAGGCAATAAGAGATACTTCAACATTCCATCATGATTATTAGGGATAATAAATTATCAAAGATTACAGTTACTGTACAATTATATCAGGTCCATTGTCTGAAAATTTAACAACAATACTCAAAGATTCTCACGTGTTATATTTCAGTGATTCTGCTTCGATGTGCTTTTGCCGATTTTTGCTGCGTCTTCTATGGACAAGGAAGTGAGTTTCCTTCAATTTATGAAAGATACAACCCAGGATTATAATGACAACCAAGCAACCACACACACAGAGAAAAGACAACGTGCTTGCTAACGAGTGTGAATAAAAGCTATCGCGAGGTGCTTTCACGCGTAGTGTGACAACCATCACAACAGATATACTAACTGAGTAAGAAAGTTGATAGATTGCATGTACAGTGCTCAAACGTAACATCTGATATGATTACAGTATTGCTCTAGATCCATAATACAGAAACAACTACCTCAGAAGATTCACAGCGTAAATGAATGCCTCCATAATACCTATCCAAGTATTTCGAAACGGAAGCGCGGCAAGTTTGGCTTACGACTGGCTGTATACTCTTCAACACACTGGTATTGTATTTCCCACATTTTCTCGAAAAAGCTTGTAGAGATAAGCTAAACGACGATTTATTTCAGACACTGGATATGCACGATGTCTTGAAAGGGAGGAATATCATTTTTTAGCTTTCGATAGAAACTGCGGAAAATCATCTTTCCACACTCTACAAAAACTGGTAAAGTACTAGCAAGCATTATAATGCTCAGAAGTAAACAATATACTTTCGGGAAACCACATCGTGACTGGTTTTTCATATAGGCTGAAAATCACCTAAGCAGTCGAATATCGGCAAGTAAATGGTAGCAAGGAGATCAATATGACTGCGGAAAATACCGATCGTACTCTATCGGTATGTCCTAGCTTGAAATGGCAACTTAAACAGAAGGCTGGGTTAGAAGTTTTTCAGTTTGTGTCACTTTCCAGTCTTAACGGCTGGCTTTGACTTGACACCTCATGAAATACCTATCAGTAACGTTTCCGCAACGGGGTTAGCAAATCACTGTTTTATTGGATTTTTACCTATTTGATAAATTAGAAATGTCACACAAAGGTGGACTAGAACCCCTTGCATGCGTAAATGCTGTAGCTTCTCAAAACGCAGTCCGTGGTACAGTGTTAACCTCTGAAGGACAAAAATACAAACAATACCTTCACTACGGATTGGAGCAAAGTCGGAAATTCTACGTGGCACTGCTGAGGAGACCTGCATGGAATAATATTATAACTCTCTGAAGTTGATATTCAGGGAAACGTGCACAAATGTTCTAAGAAGAAACAACAGACACGACAAGGAATAGCTCTCAACGGACACCTTGGATGCTAATAGAAGAGAGGAGGAGGGTGAAAGAGAAGATGACTCAATGCAAGCATGGACAACAGTAGTAGAAGCTGGCTTCAGTTTACACTGCACTGAATAAAACAGCAAAGAAGAGTACTAGGGATGACAAAAGACAATTCTACTACACACTGGCCAGCTAGTGAAGCAGAACAGGCATACCTCAGGTAAGCGGGACCTCTCAACATTATATCAGATAAACAGGCTGGTTGCCATCCGCGAAGAAACCAATGCAGATGATGAGACTCGTAAAAGATGTTCTAAGGAACCAGATCACCAAGGAGGAGAAGCAAATAAAGCAATGAGCTGATCACTTTAAGGGAATCTTGAATCGACCATCACTTGCAACTCGGCCAGAAATACAGTAACCACCACCAGCACGCACACGACTGCCTGCCAGTAGATACCAATTCCAATCAAAACTGAAATTCTGAATGCAATCAAGCTGGTGAAGGCTTGAAAGGCAGCAGGGCCAGACGGAATCCTCCCGAATCACTGAGAACACACCTAGAGGCTGCGGTAGACGTTCTCACTCTATTATTGCAAAATGTTTGGTGGGAAAGAAAAGTGCCTACTGATTGAAAGAGAGGCTACCTCGTCAAGCTATCCAAGAAGAAAGACTTAAGCCTGTGCAAGAACTGGTGTGTAATAATGCCGTCGTCCACGCCAATTAAAATGCTAAATGGCGTCATCTTGGAGAGAGTTAAAGGTGTTCTAGATGCAGAACCCTGCCTGGAACAAGCTGGTTTCAGGAAAATCAAATCCAATGCAGATCAGATTGTAAGTCTACGGATAATCGTCAAAAAGAGCGCAGAATGGCGATCAAATCTCTAATTCATCCTCGCCAACTTTAAAAGCGCATTTGACAGCGCTGATGGTAGAGTATTAATCAAAATGCAATCAGCATAGACAACAAAATTTGGATTTCCAAAAATAATTTAAGCCAGTTCGCCTATATGGGGCAGGGATTTCGAGTAATGTGAAAAACTTGTCGAAAAGGTAACGCCAGAATTCCATCAAAATCTGAATTCCCTGTCTCGAAACTGAATATTAGACAACCAGCTGGAAAGAATTAGAAACAAGAAACTCATAGGACGAGCCAATCAAGGACCTGCAGGAAATGGAGATGAACTAAATACACTCTCAGGAGACCGTTCAGTGACATTAAGTGCAAGGCTGTGGCTTGAGTGTAACCCGAATGGGAAACCACAAGTTGGGCTTGGTTTTGCAGGTAACGTGGAGGAGACGAGAGCCTATGGGCAACCGTGGGACCAACTAGGGAGAGTTCATGTTTAAGCCCTGTGTTTCACTCGTAACACCAAGAAAACAAAATAATAATAAACGCTGTCACTGCAGATGAACCAGAGGTAACTTAATGCGCAGATATTGCGCTACACCTCGAAGGAACCATAATTTCAATCAGGATAACATTAGTAGAAATCAGGGGGTCGAAGCGAATTCAAGTGTAAATCGTCCTCATAATAAAGGTTTTTGTATTTCCCAGTGAATGAAAATTAAAACGACAGTGTTTTTACTGGCGTTTCGCTATCTAATGCTAATAGCTTTATCAAAGTATTATTTAGTAAATCGTCCTCCTCTGAAATATATTGCATATGAAGTTCACTGCAAGCTGACCTGCCACCGCTGCATCCGTTGATGATGAATTGTTGTACACAAGTTCTAGAGTCGAGCAGTTCATCACTAGAAAGCCATGTCGCATTTAAATTCGTCTCTTTTCCTACCAGTCTGGTTCCTTATATATTTTCCTTATATATATATATTTGAGTTTGATGCGACTATCGTAGCTTTCTCTCACTTAGTTCTTTTGACTTAATTTCAGTTTCCCTGTTCTAACCCTTAAACTGAACTCCTCTCTACTGGATTAGTACTGTGTTTATCGATTTATGTAGGGTATATACAACAAGATGAAATTTTCGCCTCCCAAACTGTCACAGGCTTGGCACAAATCATAAATCCTTTTCAAAATGTACCTATTGTTTTATTGCAATACACATTATTTCGGGTCCAACAGAGCTGCATTAGTCAGCTGAACTACCGTCGAATATAATAAAAGGCAAAGTTAAACTATGGAGTCCCAACGGACGAGTACCAGTGACCTTGAACTGATCAAACATAAAAAATAAGTGATTTTAGCACAAAGAATGACGTTTATTTACAAGAGAATGACTGAAAACACATTAACAAGGTATCTGTCTCCGCACAACTTGAATATAAACCCCAGTTATAATCAGCAGTATCAGTTTTCAAGTTAGACCAATACACGTATTCACTGAGATGACTTAAAGTGAGCATCTTTTGTAACTCTTTTATCGCGCTTGTCCTATTCTGCAATCTTCCTAAAAAGCCCTTGATTGAATTACAATGGTTTCCAGTAAGAGGATAAATGAATACTTACTAAAAATGTGGATAGTTGAAGAAGTTAAAATAAATGATACCATCTCCAATCCTATCCTTAGTCGTAACCCTAACGTTAATCCTGACCCTAACTCTTAACCTAATACCTAACTTAACCCGAATCCTACTTTTAACTGGCTTTTGACACATCGTCCAAACAGTACTTAATAACGTGGCCTGGGCGAAATCTGCTCCCTAGTTAGAGAATAGCATTCATGTTTGCGCTTTATTAATGAAAGTAGTCGTCAGCCAACGACTATCATGCATTCAGGGTCATGGGAGCATTCGCAACCTTAGAGTTGAACTCCACTTGATAAAATCTAAAACTGTTCCAGAACGACAATAGTTAATCAATAAGAGATTATAAGAATTACTTTGTACAAGGAATATATGAAACTATTGGATATTGTATTTGTATGATTCTGGACACTTTTTCAACAGGTGCGGTACTCAAGATTTTGTTCGGAAGTTATAATTTTGAAAACGTATGTTTTCAGGTAAAATTATACTTAAACAGCTTGCCTTTAAACTACGGATTACATAAACTTTTTTTAAGTTGTGGTGTATCATGTTTACTACTTTCAGTGTTTTACGCCTAGGCGTAGAAATGCTTTTAGGTTAAATCCGTGAAAGTTTGTTATCTTACTTCAGTTCTTAAGTCCGATATGCTGATAGAATTAATATCATCGTAAATAGCTTCAGTTGGTTGCGTTTGGGTGCTGCATTAAATCAAATGTGAATGATAACTCAACGTTTATATAAATAGTATTCACGTAATTAGTAGTTTTTTGCTGATTTTTAGCAACAGTGGTTGAAATTGATGTATAAATATAGCTATGCAATCATAATCCAGGTAAACAGTAGCACTAATTAACTTCACTGGCACTCAGTACTGACCAAGGTCCTCGTCAAACAGATATCAATGCTCTGTAGTATGTTCTTGAATTACTCATATTCTCCAAGAAATCTTAAAAATGCCTTTTCTGGTTGTGTAGTGAAGACTGACTGCTTCTCAGCGCCGCACAGCCTTCAAGGTGAATCTACCATAGTCATATGTTTTACTGATTAACAGTTATTATTATTAGTAGTAGTATTTTATCCTACCTCTTATTATTACTACTCCTGATTCATTTAAAATTACCGCTTATCATTACCGTTAACCTAAATCGTTTTGATATTATTGTTTATTATTTTTATTGTTATTAGCATAACTGCTATTGTCAAAATTATTGAGTTCGGAATTCTTGATATACTCAAGTTCTTTCAGTCACTCATAACTAATTGTGTATTTAAGTGATGTAACTGAAATGTAATTCATTTATCTTAATTTTATGTCCCTGTATGTAGAGTATCCAGCTAGAAAATTATACTGAAATTTGATGAATTCATTAAACCCTGCTTTATTAACTTTTTACGTGTTTTGAACATCTTAGTCGATGGTAATTAGCAACCACCCTGACTAGTTTATCCATTTTACTTTCTATTTTAGGGATAACTTCTGTCTTGGTCAAGTGACTATTTCGCTTAAAGTGAGGCAAAAAGTGAAAATCAGTTATTCATAACCTTCATAGGCTTGTCTTTTACGACCAAGTTTCGCATCCATAAAGTATATTTGTGTCAAGACTGATGATATGAAACCTTATTTGCACCATAAGTGGTGTCCGATTAAAATACTGCCGCAAGATTTGCATGTCCCAGATTTTCCCTTCCTTGCAAGTCAAACGTTAGGTATATTGGAAAGGTTAGGGTTTTTAGACAGTTGTGTGACTACTGATGGAGATTTTGTGAATAAAAATTATATTTTGGTGAAAGGTAGAGCAGCTTACGCCAACCTGTACTACCTCTATGCCTATGTCTGTAAACTAGCTTCTTGGGAGAGTATATGCGGCAACTCTGTGTCGAATCACCTCTCTAAAATTGCTTGCATCTGGCGGAGTCATCATGTAAGTAATTCCAAGGCTAATCAGTGCGTGTTTTAATAAATGATGTCATCTTGGGCCACTAGCTTTGGTATTTTGGACTTACGCAGTAAATGTTACCTCTGCATGTGCCATCCCGTTCACTATCTTCTTTCAGTGAGACTGTTTGGGAAAAGCGGTCTACTTATTAAATATCTCAGTGAGGCAAGGATATTAGGCTTGAGACATTATCAGATATGACTAAGAGTTGAAATATATAGCGAACATGCCGGAATTTCCCGCTTTCTTTTTCTGAAGTGATACAAAGTTATAATATGAACAACAAATTGTATTCGAAACGTCATCCATTAAATCATATTGTTTCATTGTTACTTATCCAATAAACAAATATCAAAGTAGTAAATGCTCCTTTAAATGCTTTTGATAAATGTGCTTACACCCGTTCTGTTTCATTTTATCGTCCGTTAACTGTGTTCTCTTTCACTTTTATCGTCTATTTTTTGTGAATCTCACCTTTTCATAATTACACAATTAAATTTGTTTTAAATAAAATAAATTTGGCAAATAGAGCTGGTCAACCATTATGACATAATGACTGGAAGTCCATGTATATCATTGTTTAACAACTTTAAGGGACTAGGAATGTTACTTCTTTTTTCAAATTATTTAGTAATGGTTGCTCCGTCGTAAAAATTGGTTGGAAAATATGTTACTCATATAAAGCCATCGCTTTTCTGGACTAGCTATGTTGATTGAAACAAGGTGCTCTTCACCGGGTTGACTGTCCATTGGATGACAGTCTAGGGGAGATGGCTAAACCCTGATTCCAAACCTCCAACGACTGGCGTATGAAGCTCACTGGCAAACGTATGGACAAAGGGCTTGTTGGATGTCCTGGATGTCTGGCCCCGTTCAAAAAGGCGTATGAACCGGACTCCGGTCACCGGCTGCCAATGGATAGTGGACTCCCTACTCCACTCCTACTGCCTTGCAGGTCACACTTGGTTGTGTAAAGGTTAAAGCTGCACTCTCAAACAAAAGGCCGAGCGATTCTGGGGACATCACTCGTACCAAATTCCCATGAAACTTCATGAACTCTCTTACAAACGACTCTCACCATGCTACAGCGTTCCCGGTAAGCGACGCTCCCTGTGCTCACCCGGTGGCCAGTGTGAAAAGTAAGCCTGGGCAGCGATGATTCGAGATGTTCATGAAGCCGGCTCATCCTCCCGTAGGAGATAGCCGAAGTAAAGTAAGTAAGTTAGTTGGAGAATATTTAGGAGTGGTCTCGTGCTGCAAGTTCGACAAATGTATGAGTATATAGACTGATTGGTTAGAGTCCTCGTGATATCAAGAATCAATTGTTTTAGACTATTGGTAACATGGTTCAAAACCGTTGGCAATGATACTTGTCACCTTCCAGATTCTGAAAATCTCTACTAATCTTCACTTAACAGTTCTTTCTCCTTTCATTTTCGTTTGTTGTGGTTTTATTGCATTTCCTTTCTCTACTGATGTATGCTTTTCCGAAGCGTGACAACATGCACTAATGCACGTCGTGTAAACTTCCATCTCAATAATTAATCCCAGTTGGCAAAATTGGATAAACATGGCGAAACTGTAGCAAGTGGTACTAACAATGGAAAAAACTGGTTAGAATTGTCGGAAATCACGAGGTAAAGGTAATAGGTTGTAAAGCTACTGGTTTTGATGGAGGTGTGTACACGGTTTATATTTCTCGGCCACTTAGGCTGTGGCAGCTGACTCATTCGTGAAGTACGTTTAGTGAAAATAAGATTACTTTAGTATGACCTTCGAATGCAGATGTCTTTTCAATTAGACCATACTTAGTCTCCGTTTTCAGATTAAGTTTAAGGAGTCTCGATTATTTGGATAACCCTACCATTGGGTACGGACCTATTGTAACGAAGCAAGATATATACCTTTGGGGTTACTAACCCTTTCTTTCCAAACTGGGAACACATCATATGTAACTAACTGGTTGTGCGACGGCAGCATCCTACACACCCTTTCTATCTTATTATTATGTAGGCGATTCGCATAATGATGGTTGTTCCTTTTACTTGACGGTATTGGACTGGTTAATATACGTGTAAAACTTGTGCACTATGGTAATATGTAATTCCATATTAATTTGTTTATTAGGCATGTCAAACAGGGAAAAATTATTGTGATGACTTCTGAAATCACATCTGCTAGGTTAGTTTATGTAGAGCTGCTTCCTCTCCGCTCTCTTTGTTCTAGAATTAAATTGTTTTTGGGATCAAATTTACGATATAACTTTCGTGGGATTATATATATATATATATATATATATATATATATATAACTCGCATTTTCTTTGTTTTAGGTTAACGCTTTCTATATGAAAAGAAGAATTGTCATCTCCTTTCTCAACTCTCTTTGCATCCTCTTTCATTGTTGACCTAAGTGAACTGTGTGAAATATTAGCCGAACAGATTTTCAACTATTACTGTTATTATGGAGAAGCAGCATCGCGATGTAATTAGAAAGTTACGCGTCTATTTCGTGAAGAATATTTCCAACTTGGAAGAAATCCTGGACATACTTGAATCGTCTATGATTATAACAGAAAATCAACGGCAGTCAATACTTTGTGCGACAACAATCGCAGAAAAAATACGTAAATTCTTGGATATTATAGTGAGATGTGGTCCACTCGCTTATGACAAATTTAAAAGTGCACTTTTAGAAACCAATCAAAAAGATATTTATGATGTAATGAATGAAACGGAGAAGAATAACATTCCCGACGAAAAACCTAGTTCAACTGAATATCATTCTGATAAAAGAAATGATAGTGTCATGATCCCAGATAGGGTGAACATACATCCATTAACACCGTATACTGTAACTTCATCTCCACATGGCTATGTTCTCATAATAAATATTGAAGAGTATACTCGTGAGTCTGGTGTACCTAGTCGTCATGGCTCATCTCAAGATGCTTCTAAACTTCAACGTCTTTTTGAAGACTTCCATTACAGTGTCGCTGTTATTAAAGACCTTACAGGTGGAAATCTAAAAAGAGTAGTAGAAGAATTCTCCTGTAAATCAGAACATCGTAATGTCGATGCAGCTGTTCTTATTATCCTTGCACATGGCTTAGAACATCATATAATAGCAAGTGATGGTACTTATGTTAGTATTGATGAATTGGTTGGTTGTTTCACCAACAAAAAATGCCCTCTTTTAGCTGGAAAACCCAAACTAATATTAATACAAGCCTGTCGAGGTGAAGAACGTTGTCATAATGGTCTTGTAAAACGTGATTTTTCAGATTCTCTATTATCAGGTTCCTGTGAAGTATCATTAGATCCTAGTTCTTGGTTATCACTGCCGCATATGAGTGATTGTGTAATTGTATATTCCACTTTACCTGGATTTGTATCTTGGCGATCGGAGACAGAAGGAAGTTGGTATGTCAAAGTTTTTGTTGAAGTAACTAGACTACATGGTCACAGACTACATATTCTTGAACTTTTAACAGAAGTTAACAATGTTCTTGTCTCGGAAGCATCGAATTATAACATCAAACAGATATCACAACCTGTTACAACACTTACAAAACCATACTACCTGTCTACTCTCAAGACATAAACAGGTACACACTTACTATTTTAGTGTTCATAGATATTTTTTTAAACTGTAACAATTATTATTCTAGCTTTTTTTGTATACAAAACTTTTAGTCCTTTTTCTACATGTGATATAGATGCCATTATTTTTAATAAGGCGTTTGTGTGTTTTATTTTACTTCACTTCTGTTATACCGGTGTAAATATTAGAAGAAATGATTTTGAATCCAATCATCGTTATACACTCGACTAAATTACTCCGATTTCGAAATTCCAATAAAGGACGCTTAGCGCAGTATGTGATCTCATTAGACTCATAGTGTGACATATTATTAAACACATCGCACGAAAATAAATTATAATTAGAGCAGTAAGTTGTCCTTGAGAAGTCGTACACAGTTAATGTTAAACAAACTTATCTAATAAGGAATTTACAATCCACCGCAGGGCCCAAGCACTACAGTTTACGTTGGTGAATTACTTTCACCATGTTATTATAAATACCATTTATAGTGTAATTGTTTTGGTCAGTTGCATTACGACTGAACATAAATTGCTGCCATTTCAGAATTGTTTGCGCATAAATTTTCGTGCATGAACGTAAACGATGTTCTTAATTGAATCTTGATTTTCCAGTTGATTGATTAAGACCCAGATGTTCCGCCGCTGTTGACATGTCGTCTCCCAGTACGGAACCAAATGACCTAGTGAATAACGCTTTGGTGTTTGAAACGATGAGGACTAGATTCGAGTCTCTGTGGGAACACCATCATCACTCACTGAGGAGTGAGTGCAAGTATATCCGGATGACGAGTCCCAAGTAAGGTGAAACGCACGACACGGATTCCGTATTTCTAGTCACTATCCACCAAACAATATAAACAATGGCTTACTAACGCGATAACTGCCCGAAAAATACCTACGGATTTCATGTCATAGTTAGTTTATTTCAAATTACCCACAAATTATAAAAGAAAATTTGAAGATAACTATGTACAATATATGCTGGTGAGAAAAATAGTTTAGTGAAGAAATTTACAAACAGAATTTAGGGAATCTGATAAAAAAAATTAGTACTGTGCACGTTCCATTAATTCTGAAAAAGCTATGGGATGCCAACCACCATCACTAGGTGTGTACACATAACTGACATTGCGATCGAAAAACACGTGTAGAGATTCCAGTCGATATACCTGTTGTCCTTCAAACATTCTATTTGAGATAGGATGAAACAACAAGCCACGTTGGGCTGCGACTTGTTCAACTTGTTTACGCAATGTGGTCGGTGGTGGGGCAACTAAAGGTGTTGTTGTACCGAAAGCTGCTGCTGGTGGAGGAAATACGCTCGATGAACTTGCAGGATACGCGGGAACAGCTGAAAATGTGGGTTCCTAAATAAATAAAAAATGAAATAGAATGAATTATTTGATTTAGGAAGAAAATGATATCTATTTGAAAACGACTAGTTAAAAAAAAGACACTGCATATCTGCTATCATCTTAATACACTTCTGAGACGCAACACATGCAGAAAAACAACCAAATTTGATTGGTTCAGTAATGGGATCAGATGAATCACTTATAGAAATTGTTACTCTGCGCTACTCTCTTGATCTCCCTTGAATCATCTGAAAACAAATGAATGTTCAGGATACCTAAGTGTACTTTCAACCAAATCGATGGGTCACTTGTAAATTAGAGCGCCTAATCTCCTGTTACAGAAACGATATGTAGGCTAATTACATGAAAAGGCGTAAACACCATTCATAAAAATGGTAATCCAATTTATACATACAACTTGATGTATGTTCATCAAAGCTGGAATTTAATTAAATCCCTTACCACTCGGATCCGACGCATCTGTAGTCCTGACACCCTAGAAGCAGAACTAGACCTTCTCAAAGAAATATTCATCCAAAATGCAGTACCCACCAGGATTCATTGACAAGAATATCAAACCAAAAGTTCCGAAAAAAGAAGCCTGGATTTCTAGGGAGACTTAGACTTCGATATCCTTAAGAGAAAAATTTCAGCATCTTTGGGAAAAAACATTCTTCGCAGGAACGCTAAGAACAATGTTGTCCAATCTTCCATTGGTCTGCACAAGTCTAAAGGACAAGATTTCGCATATGACCACTTCTATGTGCATATATATTAGTTCATCTGTTCCAGTGGAGCCAGGTAGACTGGTCGTTCGATGCGTATCCTGTCTAAAAGGGTCCAAGAACATTATCCTGCATGGTTATGGAAAGGCAGTAGTGGCTCTCCCATGAGGAGTGCGATAATCGTACTCCTTGTGAACACCAGTAATTCCATCTCAATAAAGGCCTTCTTCAAAGTAATCTACAAAGTGAAGAAAAACCTGTCAAAGATATCATACGCTTCCGTCTCGTTTGCATCACTGGAGATTTTTCCATTCGAAGAGAGACAACAGAGCTAGGCATACACAAAAACCATTTATATTATCATAGTAACAATCTTGTTGATTTCTACTGACTTGACTTTAGTTTGCTTGTTTTTCTAACTCCTTATCATACTTGTATTTCCTTCATTTCTATGTGCATCTTGGCTATAACTCATTCATTAAATTATTCGCCTTATCACGTAACTATAATACACTTATTCAGCTCCTCTTATACATTGACTCATACTAACAACAGCTATGACTGTGACGACTTGTCACTTTTGTTACTACTATCTTTCATGGGGAAAAATTGTACATAAATGCGATTATACAGCTAGAGAGCGAAATGAATTCGCCAAAAAGAGCCGCTTAGCTTCAACTACGTGTTTTGTTTTCGTTAGCGTTTGGATGGGGGATCATTCATGAAAACTAGACTTATCGATAACTTTTAGTGTTTATTAAAAGCTCAGCAGTCCGCTTCGTCCTACTGTATGGCCGAAAGACCTGGCCATTGAGAGTGGAAGACATGAAAACCTGGCTAGCTGTGTTTGATCATAGGTGACTGCGTTCTGTCTCCTGCGTGAAATGGTATAATAGGGTGAGCAATATTGAGGTTAGGCGTCGAGTGCTAGGTATAGAGAGGAAATCAATCGACGAGGCTCTGAAGTTACATTGATTGGGATGGTTAGGACATGTGTTACGTACGCCTAGTCATCGCCTTCCTCGACGGGCAATGTTAGTTGACATTGGGTCGGGTTGGAAAAGAGCTAGCGGCGGTCAAACCAAAACACGGCCTCATCAGTCAATGAAATCCACGATAGTTAGTTTAAGCGACGTAAAAAGGTGTAGACTTCCTGGTTGGGGCCCTCAGGATGGTAAACACCAATGAAGGCTGTAGACAATTGGTGATATGACTCTAAATCGTTCCGAATGGCGCAGACGCATCTACTCCTTGTGACTTATAATACCCAATAAAACTATATGGTTCTTCCATATTACTATTCTTTGTACCTCATATCTCTCTTTACTGTCCCTATTTTGCATTTCTTTTTATTTTCTTCTTCTCTGGCTTTGTGTGCTATATGGAGGGAGTGTGGCACATCGGTGCAAAGTTCTACGCTGAAACCAGTCAGTCACCTACTATGTTTCATATGTTTTGGTTGCTTCCTAGCTACCGTTAAATAATTCAAGAAAATTAATAACGGATTGATGAACAAAGGATATTCTTTTCGTCTTTTGGAAAATAACAAGCAAGAACGTGAAAAAGTGCTCTTTTTTGTTCTCTTCTATAACCACTACACAGACAACTTTGTACACGCAAGATGAACATCTCTCAGAATATCCGTTCACTTGATTAGTTCGTGAAGAAGAGTTTCAGAATCTAATGATTGACTTGATTTATCCAGCAAAACCTTAAAATGAACCCAGCGTTACCACCAGTTAACAACTTTGATAGTAATCCATTAAGTCAAAGGATAGTATCAGTATTTTTCATCCTTTGACATTTTTTATTCATGTCAAAGTCATCGCTAGTTGGTAACACTCCGTGGAGACGTAGTTTATACACTTCACTTCCCGCTAATGGACCTCAAATTCACTTGTAGCCTCACTTCTTCAGGATGTCTGCGCAATACTTTGATATTATATATATATATATATATATATATATATATATATATATATATATACATCACTTACTTGCGGTGGTAAGCCCCGCATTGAACGTTCCATCATCGCTAAAGCTTTCGTCAGAGAATCTTTTACACTGGCATATTCCATACATTCCGGTGGCAACTGACCCTTCCAACCAGCATACCAACGACCGACTTCTTGGAAAATTTGACCGGCAGCAGTATGGTCGCCACGTTTTCTAGCCTCTGCACCTTGATTTAGCCAGTTTGAAAGAACTGATAACCAACGTGGCCAAAAATGATGCTCCAATAGGTTTACAAGCACCGCAGGCCCAATCAAATCAGCCCAACGCATAACCCAATTCCATGGATCCATATTCTGTTTGGCAGGATTGAGCTGATTAGTTAAAATTAGGGAAAAGATACATACACACATAATTAGAGTTAATCGTCCAGGCGTTATACACAATAAACTGAAGTACTGGTCATAAGAAAAACATTTTAGCTTAATCACATTGAAGCGTCTACCTCTATTAGAAAAATCAATACTTCAGGTTTAATATGTGGAATGACAATAGCGCAATAAAGAAACAGTCTTATCTCAGCATTCTCAAAATCATATCACTGTTGGAGTATCAACCTCACTATACTGCTTGTTTATTCGAAAAAAAGAATCCTAGCGGTACATGCATCTATGAATGCAATACGCAGACTTGGGGCTTTAAGGTAAAGTACAAGAAATACTGATTTAACTAATTCGAAAACTAAACAGTAATGCCGTAGACATTTAATCTAAGTCGATAGCCAAAACCCTTATAGGTTATTAGTAGGAAGTGAACGACAGGCGGTTTCTGAGAATTCCTCCTGCCGATGGGTCTGCATTGAATTGTAGATTCGAGTAGAGAATTCTTTTGGGAGCAGGAAGTATGGGTGGTTTTAGTGTTTTAGGTATCATGGATATCGTGATGAAATGTTCTCCGTAGCGATTTTCAGAGGAAGATTCTTTTCAGTGTCCAGCTCCCATTACATAGTGTCCGGGCTCAACACTCTGAAAAGAATCTTCCTTAAGACTGACTACGGAGAACGTTTCATCACAAAATCTATGATACCGAAAACACTAAAACCACCCATACTTCCTGCTCCCAGAAGACTTCTCTGGTCGAATCTACAATCCCATGGAGTCTCATCATCCACAAGAATATTGAGAAACCGCCTGCCCCGCTCACTGAAGAAAACTTTCGCTGCTTCAATTTTCTCTACAAAATCGGTGAATCACATGAACGTGAAGGATAAGCTACCACTGTTGGCCTCATCAATGTGCATCTATCAATTCGCCTGCTCGTATGGCGTTAGGTATGTTGGCCGTACCTAGCGTTTGCTATCTAAACGTAGCATCTAACACTTACCTTGATGATTTTATAAAGGAGAGAAGAAAATTCTCACCCCCACAGATCTATCCTCGAACACCTGATCGAATCTACACACCAAGCTAACCCACATACTAACTTCAAAGTCGTCTGCGGAATACGCAGGAATCTTGCTAAAAGAGTACGAACCAAACTTCTTCAAACCACAGAAGGGACGGCAAAGAGTAACTGCTCGCTGAACGCCCTTTCTTAAATGTACATAAGTATAACTGTGCCAATCAATTTTTTTTAAATTCCATGTGAGTGGTTTTATAGATTACCGAAATGAGTTGCAAGTACATACATGTAAATTAAACCGGGAGAATTATTTCTACACCTAAATAATGACAATCAATCGATAATTTGACTCGTAATATTTCCAGCAACATGACTCCTCCCACTACTAAAACATTGGTTTAGGGATTATATTCTAGCGGTGTAGTTGTACGTAGTAACTAGAATTAACTAATAATATGAATAGTAATAGCTTTATTCCAAACAGTACTCTTGATACAATGTGAAATTTTCAGTATGCAGTGCAATATTGCATCTAATTTCCTCTTTACATAGTACAGGGAGAAATAATTAAGCAGGGCATTTACATTAGTAACATTTTTTAAAATTTTATTTTATTACTTTACGTTCCCAGTGGAGCATAGGGCTTCAAGCTACAGCTTTGAAGTTCCAGTAGCAGTGATGTTTATTTTTACGGGATGGGGTTGCTAGCCTCATGCCCCACCTTCCCTCTTTACAAGTCTTACTACTGGCGAGGTAAAAGGGGGGGGCTGTGGCCGCACATTGGACCTCGAACCACCTGAGTGGTTGGCGAGCATTCTACCGCTGTGTCACCGAAGCAACATTTTTGGAAATATTGACAACAATATAATCATGATGAAAGAAAGGATAAAAAGTGCCGTCTACTTAGTGTTCCTCAGTAAATTAGTAGTGTCATGCCTAACGGACTTTTCTCATCACATAAAATTTATGCCAAATAAGGTATTGTGAAGTTTTTATACTTAGTCATCTGAGCATAAAGTCTTCCATAGTCGCTTCTAGCCCAACCTGATGTGATAGATGCAAGGAAAGAGTTGTGCATAAAGAGGATTTTCAGGGTTCGACAAGATAACACTCACTAATTTCTTGCTTGAATCCATGTGTCTATCTACAACAGTTGGTTTAGCCACAACCTACCGACAGCTTTTAGTGCCCTTCACAGTGTAACAAAATCTTTCTAAAGTGGCCAAAGAAAGATTACGGCGGGACAATAGAGAAGAATAGGTTGTTTCTTTTTTATTCCTTCACGTTCCCAGTTGAATATAGGGCTTCAAGCTAGAGTCTTGAAGTTTCTGTAGTCAGTGTTTATTTTCACAGGATGGGGTTACTAGCCTCATGCCCAACCTTTCCTCTTCACCAGCTTTATTTCTGGCTTAGTGAGGTAAAGGAGTGCGCCGACCGGGAATCGAACCCAGGACCATTAGCATGGTCGGCGAGCGTCCTAACCGTTATGCCACCAACGCACAAGAAGAATTGGTAGAATACGAGAATTCAAAAACTATAAAAGTAGAAACTGACTGAGTGATACCAGCTTGTCTCCACTTCCTTACGTAGAAATTCACTGTTGGTTACTGTTGACACTGAATACAACACTCCCTTCTATATACGACTCCAAAAATTAGTGAAACTGTTTACAGGATTTCATAATGAACTGACATCGGTTAGAAAACCTGAGAGTACTGGACAGCTGCTTCGTCCTAGTTTACGACTCTTCGGCAGTACGAACCCACCGGGGTTCGAACCCAGGACCTTCTGGTTACAAGGCTAGCGAGCTCATAGACCATTAAGCCACTGGGACCCGATCCAATGGCCAGCCCATGAATTCTAACTTCTGCCAATTCACGATATAGCGCAACCGCTAGCCAATGTCTTCGGCGAGTATATGTAACCAGTAGGGTGCAACGCGTTGGGTGTGAAAACAAATACTCGCCGAAGACATTGGCTAGCGGCTGCACTATATCGTGAATTGGCAGAAGTTAGAATTCATGGGCTGGCCAGTGGATCGGGCCCAGTGGCTTAATGGTCTACGAGATCGCTCGCCAGAAGGTCCTGGGTTCCAACCTCGGTGAGTTCATTGATATAAGAATAAAACTTGAGCACTGTGGTAGAGTGTAATTCCATTATGGGTAAATTTTATTTTGATGGAGTCTCACAGTGTTATACAGTAATATTTACTGATGACGTTTCGAGCACAATTTATTGCTCATAATCATATCAAGGTAATCACACGACTTCCTAAATTCATTTACATAGTTCCATTGTTTTTCACTTGATTTGATTGGTAGTATTATTTTCCATATTTCAGGTATGAGTGATGATTCATTCCTATTGCATGTGTTGGGTGTAGATTCGATGAATAAAGATTCAGTAATCAACCTCTCTCTCCACCTACCTAGATTACTTTTTAGAATTTTAACCCTCTTCCACCCTATTGTGTGGTTGTGTGTTAATGCATGCATTGCAATTGCCGAGCTTTTTTCTAAATTACTTATCTTCTCTGGGTCAACCATTCTTACCTTAGCTAAATTCTTATGTTCTGACAATCTGACTACCCCTGACCTACTAGTTTGACCTATGTAGTTGACCTCACAGTCACTGCAGGGTATTCGTACTGATGAAGAGTCCCAAACTAGGACGAGACACCTGACCAGTACTCCTAGGTTTTCCAATGGTTCTCTAACCAATGTCAGCCCATGATGAAATCCTGTAATCAATCAACCAAACCCCTACAAACCTATACTTGAATTAGTGAAACTACCAAATAACCATATTTCGGCATCCAACGTCATAAACATCCACAACAAAAACTACATTCCTTTTCGCCTCTGACTAACTATGCACGGAGTACTGAAATTCGATTTCCAACTGCTCTTATGTTCGTCGGCTAACGGCATTCTTGGTCATATTTCGGCTATTCAAATTTGTATATCACATGTGCAAACAGATTAATTTCAGTTTCCAGTTATTCAGTCGGTGAATAACACTAGACAAGATTTAATTACAATTCCCTGCTGACCAATCAGTTTTCATGCTTTAGCTCTAATCATCTAACTAGTTTAGGTGCTTGATAAATCTAACATCCAATAATACCGTAACTTCAGAGACACTCATGAACTTTACTGTGAATAAATCATGTTAGAGAATACACAAAACAGAAAACTAACCTGAAACTGTTGTAAAGCTAAAGCCAATTTTGGTACTACATGACGACTGAGAAAAGCTGCCATCGATGGAATTGGAAAAATAGTGCGCCATGGCATAAGAACTGAGCGAGCAGATGCATCACTTGGATGCCAGTTAGTAAGACAGCTGCCAAGCTTCTGAAGAACTATATCATGTACAGAAGAAAGACGTTCAGTTCCTCCGAACCAAGGTAGCCATGGATGTAACCATATATGGACAGGTACTGTATCCGTTAAGGGATTCCATGAATTGACAGCTTCCTAAAAATTACAAAATTGCATATGGTTAGTAAAGGCTTTTAATGTTACTGTTACTTTATCTCAAAGTTAAATAAAATAAGGGCTAGGTTTGTGCACTGAATTTAATTGTTACGCTTTTTTATTATAGCTTGGTTCCACACCGTATTTTTGGTACAAGTATGAAATTTTCAGCATGTGATATCGTTAGCCAAAATTTTGCAGGCCAACCATTGATATCAGGTGTTCGTCGGCAGGGGGATTGAACCCCGGACCATGTGCATGGTCGGCGAGAGTCCTAACCGCTGTGCCACCGACGCACATGGATGTTCATTTAAAACAGAAAGAAACAAATACCGATATTTGAATTTCACATAAAATTCATACCATTTCTTGACAACAAATAATATTTGCTAGGGTTAGTTAGTTTACAAAACTCTACCTGACCACAACACCACCACCTATGGTATTTATAAAAATAATAATTACCTGCAACTTTGGAAGAATTAGTTGATCTAGTAATCTGTGTTCCAACATATCAACCGGTAATAAAGGTTTCCATGCTTCTAGAACCTCTAACAAAGGTTCACAGTCTCGAGCATTCCACTCATTAACTATTGTACGACGCATTGTACTCAACCAGGTTGTTTCAAGTATAACATCAAATGCACTTGAATTTTGAAAGAAATCTTTCCAACGTGACAATAAATCGAGACAGAATGTAGGCTCCTGTAAAGAAAACCACCAAATGACAAAGAGAATTATTATTATCATTATTATTATTATCGGCGACGACAGATTGAACTCATCTTATAGTTTCAATAGTAATCGATTACAATGTCGAGGAATTATGCTACCACCAAAGTTCCCTTCCTCAACAATTCTACTTGCTTTCATATGCAAACGCTCGACTTCATTATGCCTTTAGTTTCCTAAGACATTCTTTTTAAAGATACACTTCATGACTTCATGCTTGCATCCATGGCATTGTCCGTAGAATTACATACATGAATAACGATGGAATAGCTTTCGATGTAGTCCTATTTGCAGTGCGGCTGACAAATCCGTTTCCACAGTCCACATAAAATGAACCCATGTAATGGCAAAGATAAATTTCGGTTAAAAGTAATTTAAACTATCATTGTGGCTTGTGCTACTGAGAAGATTTACAAGTAGTATATACGTACAGGTAAAAATATGTATTTCATCTGCAAGAATAGAGGAGGGAGGGATTTAATAGTGATGGGGTGAAATGAACGATTATTGTGAAACAACCCAGAAAACATGAAAGGAAGACAAAAAAGCACTTTACAGAAGACATGTGAAAATTACTATTTTAATATATGGTAGATGTTTCTTGGATGCGGCAAAGACAGGAGACAGAGAAAAGGCGGAGGCGATGAGGAAAATCAACCGACAACTGGCACCAATCACTATGGACGGGAGAAATTCGAACGAGGTCTCTTCCTTAAATAATTTACGAAACAACGTTTCAACTAGAGGAAGTTCTTCTATTTGAGTCAGAAACTTGGCTCACACCTCATGAGAAACACTTCGAACAGGTGGCAGCTGCCTTCACTGGCTCCATACTAAAGATCAAATAGCCAGCCAGAAAGGACTAGAGACAATAAACTCTGGGAGCGAACCTATCGAGAACATATTGCTCAACAAATATGTTGGAGAAAGTGGAGATGGATCGGAAATACATTGAGAAGACCGTTGAATAGCATCACGCGCTGGGTCGCCGAGTGGAACCCGAACGGGGAACGACGAGTATGGTGTGAATCTGAGAGTGACATGAAGACCGTGTGAGATGATAGCTTATGGGCAATCGTGGGGCCGGCCGAAAAGAATGGGACTATTGTGTTCTGCCGTTGTATCGTAACAAAGCATATTGGCTTTCATTGATGAGTCAAATTGATGTCCCACTAAGTAGATACTACTGGCACAAAACTCTAAATCAACACTAATCATTTAGATGCTGTCGCATGGACAAAGAAGAGGAAAATCTGTTTCCAAGACAATGAAAACCCAACAGTAGGACGTACAGTTTCATTAAAACACACACCACTTAACCAGATTCTATTCAGGCCACTACTTTAAGTATCTCCCAGATCTACAATAAAAGCAATGGCAATTGTATAAAGTGGTAACGTCTCTGACTGCAGCACTGGGTGACGCGGGTTCGAATCTCAGAAGGGACATGAGTTCCTTCAAGGTTGCAGATACGCCTTGCTGACGAGTGCCAACTAGCACGAAACCTAGGTCCAAGGCTTCCTGCCGATTGCCTCCAACCACCGAATATCATTTACAGAATTCCACAGTAAAAAATATAAAAAAATACACTTATAAAATAAGCAAAAAAACACACATACTTGAAGCGGATCCCACTTAGATAGGGAATTATCCAACATTGGACGTGCAATACATGCCATAAGGATTGGCATTTCATCCAAATCTGCACACTCCTCGCGTATAAGTGACATCCAGGATAAAATGTCATCAGAAGTTAAATTTGTCCCAGAACTTGAATGAATAGCAGATTCATTTTCGAATCTCTTTATCAAATTTAAAGCCTTTTCGAGTTGCTTAACTTCATATTCTTCATGCTCAATTGTCTAAAAACGAAGTCAAAAATACGAACATACGATTAGCCACTAGTGAGCAACTGAAAATGCTTAGTGACTAGTGATCACAAGCCGGTACTGACGTGTATGTAGTATTTTCACAGAGTGAAGAGGATATTGTTATATGGGATTTTATTGCATTAAGTTATTCACAAAAGCGGCAATTTACACTACCTCTCGAGTAGATGTGATATCCGGTTATTGGTTAAAGGGTATGTGTATTGCTCACAATAAAAAGGCTAGCCGTCTCTGATTATAGGTGTCTGCGTTCTATCTCCCGTGTCAGGTGGTATGATTGAGTGAATAATACTGAGTTTAGGCGTCGAATGTTAGGTAAGCAGGAAAAAACAACTGATGAGGTTATAAAGTTACACGGATTATTGAGATGGCTAGGACAGATGTTACGTGTACCTAGTCATCGCCTTCCTCGACAAGCAATGTTAGCTGACACAGGATTAGGCTGGAATCAGTCCAGGAAATCCTTGACAGTTAGTTTGAGTCAGCCAAATAGGAAGATGTAGACATCCTGTTTATGGGCCTTTGGGTTTCTAAGAATCAATGGCTGCAGATAATTGGTGATATGGCTCTAAGTTGTTGTCAATTGGGGAGATGCATTCAGTCTTTGTGATCTCTCCCATATCCATTAAGCACCATGGTTTTCTCATTTTACTATTCTTTGTCCCTCACATTTCCGCTTATTATCGTTCTCTTAAATCGGTTTTCTCACTTATTTGTCTTCTTTGATGTACCATGTGGTGTGGCACCTCGAAGTACTGCACTTCTGTGCAGAGTTCCATGTTGAAACCAGGACGTTCACCTACGGCAATGAAAACGGCTGCATAATTAATAAAAGCTAAAAAGTAGGGGTATATCTGTTAGCAAGTACAGGAGAATTTTAACCGTTGATCGCTAACTTTTACGATAATTTATCACGAACAGACCACTAGTTTCATATTACAGAATTTCATCAGAAATATTCCTTTGAGATGAGAATGCTTAACATTGGTGGCATTCAGTTAAGTTGCACAGCAAAATCTATCAAAAGAATACCTATATATATATATATATATATATATATATATATATATAATACATATATATATATATGCGTCGGTGGCATAGCGGTTAGGACGCTCGCCGACCATGCACATGGTCCAGGGTTCGATTCCCGGCCGACGCACTCCTTTACCTCGCTAAGCTAGAAATAAAAAAGCTGGTAAAGAGGACTGGTTGGGCATGTGGCTAGCAACCCCATCCTGTAAAAATAAACACTGCTACAGAAACTTCAAGACTCTAGCTTGAAGCCCTATGTTCTACTGGGAACGTAAAGGAATAAAAAAGTATATATATAATGGAAATCACATTCCTTTCTTGAAATCATCGTACTCCATTTGTCCGAGTGGTTTGCACACGTTTCACGTATACAATTTTAGAGTTCTGTGTATTGGAAAACTTAAAAGATAGAAACAGTGGTTTACCTATTAAGTACTTAGTAGTTTTGTAATTCACGATTTCTCATCAGTAAATGTCCTGGAACATCATTAATCAGCTTATTGTAGCTTATTAATGTAAACAGGCGTCATGTGCTACTGATAAGATTCACCAGTAGTACATAAATACAGACTGATATGCAGCCAAAATTGGAAGCAACATTTTAAGCCAATGGCTGACTGCATCTAGTTTACGGTTGTGGATATGAAATAAGCTCATTGGACAACTTTTCGGCCCACTGTTTAATCTTCGCCAATCGCCAACCAACCAATCAGAACAGTTTATTGTCTCCTGACCTAGTCAACGTGGTTAAAAATGTGTTTTTCTGTAATAAAAAAAAGTCCGTTACCAGTTCATTTATCTTTTTTCACTACTACTGTATTCTACAGAATAAATAAGTGTTTATACTACATCAATAACTTAGAAATACACTAATAGTGCCATGAATTAAAAGTGATCAAATATAATTTCAAATATGAATCAGTGATGACATTTTTCTTTTCTGAACACACATTGGAGGAAATATCTTATTCAAACTCAGGAAAAGCATGCAAGCTTTATGCCAAGTCGAGAGTTCATTTATCAAATCCCTGTTCTCCCCTATACCCTTTAAAACTGAATCAATCAATCAGCCTTTAAACTACAGATACGAACCTTCTTTGTCTCCACAACTCCCAATTAATCATATTAATGTCTTCAAATTTATTAAGAGGGCAAATAACAGAGCACCAGAAACAAAGTGCTGGTGTATCTTTTTGATTTTCTATAGTTTGGTTTGTAAGGGTTAGTTATGTTTTACGAGTTGATCACGGACTGGGTTCGAATCCCAGTGGGTGCGTACTGCCGATGATTCCCAAACTAGGATGAAACAGCAGCTGTCCAGTACTCCCTGGTTTTCAATGGGTCTCTAACTGATATCAGTCCGTGATCAACTCGTATCTTTTTAAATTGTTCCTCTGAAATTCATAAGCATAATCTACTTGACTAGATATTTTAATATATAGTATACTGTAACTGTCAATTTAAATACACTGACATTACTGTCGCTGGTCGTCCTAGGGCGACATGGAGGAGATCGTGTGAGGAGGTGAGAGATTACAGGCAATCGTGGACCTAGCTGAAGAAGACGGCAGAAGATAGAACAAAGTGCAGATGTGTTGTTGAAGCCCTATGTTCCGCTCGGAACCCAAGGGAATAATAATATAATAATGATAATAATAATACTATCGCTGTAGCAGATAATAGACCTGTCAAATAGTCGGATATTCAAACAGTCCTTTATCGAAGTCTAAGGGGGCCATATAACATCAATATCCACCAAGCAAACATACACACACATGATAATCAATGGTTACAGTACTTTCCTTCATCTGATATGAGAAGTTGAATAAGTATTAATGAAAACTGGGATACAACTCGTTAATATGCTAATACGAATCGTTATTGGTATTTCCCTCACTATGAAAAGCGCTTTATTGAGATAAAACGATATCGTTTCACATTGCGAATCTCGTCTGTTTTTGTCTAACACAGTATTTTTTTTGTTCAGCGAAGAAATATCTCTTTTTAACAACTTTATTTTCAAGCTAACTGTACAGTCGTATTTATATTTCGGAAAAGGCATTAAGTGGCACTAGAAATTGCTCAGTCAATATTGCACATACGATAATAAGAATAAAGATAACTAAAATGATTTACTAAGGAGGTAGCATTGAAGTGGATGAATTACAAAACTTTTAAAGATTATTAAATAAGTGAATTAGCATAGAGATTTAGAAAAAATTGTAGGTCAAGTGTTGTCTGAAAACTTAAGAGTACGATGATGATAACAATAAAGACAGCGAAGGTGAAGTGAAGTGGAATGAATTCAAACGGTAAAATAGAAGAACATTACCATGATCAAGGTAAAGAAAGAGATTTAACACAACGTTTTTGAACGCATAATTTAGGTTTCTTTCTATGTATAACTAGAGCTTCAGCTATGCATAAGTAACACCGCGATAACCCAACAAGTTATACTGGCTGGAGCTTATGTTCCTGCAGGTCCTACCATTCCAGGAAGGTTGTTTGGATAGCGGTTAGACTAAAAGCAGTTACCCAATCCAATCCTATGACTTCAAATAAATCACAAAATATCATGCCGGATCGGTCGGGGCCCGGATCAACAACGACCGCGCTTTCTGCTGCCGTGTCACAGGGCAGAAGTGATAAATACGCTACTGAGACACACCAAATAAAAAACAACAAACAAAAACAGGCCGTGTGTGACCGGCCTCAAGCAGTTGTCCCCTGGGCTCTGCGGTCACGCAACCAACTTCCACGGTGTGGGCAGCCGGGAAGTAACAATCGCCCTCACAACCCGAAGAGCACGCGAAACCTCTCTATTCCTCACTCACTTTTGTCTTCATCTTCATCTCTATTATCTTACCTTCCTTCTACTAATGCAAATCTGTTAATCGCGATAGATAGATAGACTGTATGATAAGCAGCCAATCAATATTATGTGACCTTTTTTGTCGCGATTATTGGCCAATTAATGTAACTCTCACCACGTGATGGCGACCTTGAATGTTCTTTTTTGCCTGTCACTCTACTTGTATATACATGTAATTAATTGACTGTTCATTTTGTCCGTACCTTCAATACTGTTCGGTACGTTTTTGTCCGTTTTTTGTAATGACGGTGGATTTGTACATTTTTCTTGGTGTAATTTTATGATTTATTTTATGTTTTAGAAACAGATAAAGTTAAAGTCAAGTCATCCTGTTTTTAACTATAGCTAAGCCGAGACTCTGTATCGTCAGTATTGAGGAGGGACTAAATCTGTAGGACAAAAATAATCCTACAAAGTTTCGAACAGTATCACAGACGAAAGTTTCGAACAGCATGTCAGATGAAAGTTATGAAACTATGCCGTCGTTAACTCCACAATTAGGAAAGAGTAATGAAGCTGATTTCCTTGGAAGCAACGAGTATGAATCACGCTATATGGTAGAATTGGAGCTAGCGAAATTGCGCATAGTCCAAAAAGAGAAGGAAATGGAATTAGAAAGATTACGACAAGGTAGTCGCGAATGTTCTTGTCACAATAAATCGCCTTACAAACCTTCTACTTCTCATAAAGTCTCTGTATCTCCTAATGATGAGTCCACCAGAACCATATCTAAGTTTCTGGACATACTTAAAAGATATCAATATTTTAAGATGGATGCCGATGAACTTGAGTGTTGGATCAATGAAAAACTGCAAACCTATGCAAACGAGGATTTTAAAGAGCTCAGTAATCTTCAGCTGAAAAAACAGAAACACCAAGAGTTTGAGTTAGAAGTAACAGTTCATGCTGAAACACTGTCAGCTCTGGATTCTGCGGGAGAAGAAATGATTGGTCAGGGGTACTACGCAACAGATATTATCAAAAACCGTCTTGATGAATTGCATGCCCTGTGGGAAAGGCTTATGGCTATTTTCAGAGAAAAATCCAGTGTCATTAACCTAAAGCT